CCCCCTCCCCTGTATGTGGAACCCCCTTCCATTTGAGCCTCAGTACTGAATTGGGTTATGAAGGCCTATCGTTCTTGGATCGTCATGAGCTCTATGGCCCTAAGTTTGTTAAAAAGCGACATGGATATCGATGACGTCGAAACAGACTTTACAGAGAGACACCGACTTCTAGGTCCGTTATAGCGATATAACTTGTCTTAGTACATATTAACGGTGCCTAAAAATGTAATGGGACCCCTGTATTTGAAGCCCGGTTTAGGAGAGGCTTCAAATATTGTAAACCCCGAGCTTATCATACCGCTTTTACAGTAATAAAGAGCCACTTCATATTAATGGTGTACGCACTCAAATCAGTACGAAATTAACCCACCTGATCCAGGATGAGAATAATGCCGTATAGCTTTTATTAATACTTCGAAGTAACCTTTTCTCGGATCGCTGCACAGTGCTGTTTGGTGGCAAAAACATGGGTCAGATTCACCGCTCGCATAACGTAACCGTGATTTCCATAACGCAAAACGTGATTTCCTTAACGCATTCGGTGATGGCTTACTCTTCATATGACGGCTCTCTAGGATGAACCGTAGTCTCGCACCATTCGATTCGCTGTACCCGCTGCCGCAATTTCACTTGTCATTCCGCAATTTACTTTCCCTCTATCATCACTTGCGACCTGATGAGAACCTGTATTTTTTTTTACCCGCCCAACGGTCATTTGCTGAGTGACAATGTCATTAGCGCAGTGGTAACCAAGAACAGCAGACCATCCTCCGTATTCACCAATGACTCGACTCTCACGCTGTCAATCTCATCTTCGACACCCCAACAACTCACCTCATCTATTGCACAAATAACCCAAACAAGTTCGGTTGCACCAAACAGCCGTGATATATGGAACAGGCTGAGTACTGCCGAAAAAGCGCTTCAACTCCATCGACGCCGTCGAAGGGAAACTCAACAAAGATATAGGAAGAAGCTTGACCCCACAGCGGCATCTCTGGCGGGTGACGTCGCTAGGCTACAAGAGGAGTTGTAGCGAATCAAGTCAATCCTACATCCACCTGCGAATGTAGATGCCGACATGTCGTCGTGTAGGGCAGCGGTGCAGCTTTTTCGTCTATTTCGCTATGGTTTAAACGTATCCGAGGAGACACAAGTCACTCAGAAAAGGTTTCTACAAGCAATCTTGGCTCCTAATATTGCGTCTAACAACGGGTATGGGGTCGAACCAATACTGAAATTTTGGGGCTTCCATTCATCCCACAACGTAAAGATGGAAATCCACCACCATCACGGAACGTATGCTTCGGACCTCTCTCTTTCCTGCCAGTGAAGATGATGGAGAAAAGAAATGGCCGCCGTTTGCTTGGAAGCTTCTTGGTCACCGTCTTACTTTTTGGACCGCCGTACACTTTGAATGGAATGAAGAGAAATGCCGCTTTGACAGCGCTTACCACCAAGCAGACATGTTGACGCCGTTGCTGAACCTGTTGGGGGATATGGAGGATACATGCGCCGTTCTCAGCAGCTCTCTTGGTTTCTACTAGCAGTAGAAAATGTTAAGTGAGTGAGGTTACGCTTGATTGGGAGGGAGGGGTCTGGATAGATTCATGCTTTGAAATTTAAAGAACTGAAGGTACTTGTGCTGCATTTCGTGAAAAAAAGAAAAACAATGTATCGTCGTGTTTATCGCGATGATACACTGAGTATCATGAAGACGGACTAGCGTTTTTACGATTCATGTTATTGTATCATAACTAGGATGTGAAATTAAATACATTTGATCCGAAATTTTTTTCAATATTTTAGATTCTCCTTTTAGATTTCAAAAAATAATGTAAACTAGAAAGTAAAACTTAACTCAATTCGGAACCAAAACTTCTATCATGGGGGGGATTGACGACTAAAATCTTTCTAGTCCGGTCGTCAAATGTGTTTTTCGGTAAACGTCGTCTCAAGTGCCTCAAAAGAGAGAAGTGAACGACGGAGAAGAAGCTAGCTTGAAGGCTTGCGAGCTGCGCGGTTCGGCCCGCGGCATAGCGCCTTCGCTAGCGACTTGGTGAATCTGAGCACATAGGGTAAACGGTTGGAAATTGAAGCGTATCATGACTGTCACGACACTGCTCACGACTACTATACTGGTGTTCCTGCAGGAGCTGTTGAGCAACCCCCGCGAACATTAACTTTTTCCGGTCCACGAAAGGCCAAGATCGTTGTCTCTCCGTTCTATACCGAGTGGTCATCGCGATTCTCGAAGTAGAAGATGGAATAACTGCCGGTAAACATCAACAGCATCGTTGCTGAACTTGCCGCCTGTGTCTTAAGTAAGCTCTGGATGGGAGACTTGGCCCGCTGACGAGCAGCCCCGCCCCCAATCTGGATTGGTGCAGACTATCGCTGCATCAAAAACACTCGACGTACTTCATGAAGCTCAAGTTCGGGTGCCAAATAAACGGCAAGCGCGGATGCTGGTCATTCCCTATGAATCCTGACGAGATCCAGAAGCGAACGCTAAGCAACGGTACCACTCACTAAGTCTCCTGCAGCAATGCTATATCGACTTTTGTCGAGGATTTTTAATGACCGAGTGATAATATATTGAAGTGACAAATGAGGCCCAATAGTACTCTTTTATCTTCTTTTTTTAAAAAAAAAGAAAATCTGAAGTGCTCTTTGCTGTTTTGTGCTTCTATGGTATGTTCTTCTTGTTGTAGGCTTGAAGGTAATCCTTGACGAACTTCCTTGCGGGGCTATTAGGTGGCCATCCCTTCGCTCCCACATAAGTACTAACGTCATAGAACTTGACATTATCAGCCAACCAATTGTCGAATTGTCCTCTTTGCAACTTCTTGGCCAACTCTTGGTTCTTCGCGGCATTGAGCATAGTGTACACTCCCTTGTTGGTTTCGTCGTTGTAAGTTGTCAACGTCTTTGCCACCATCGCATATTTCTTTTTAGAGTCTCCGTCGTTGAGATCGCCCACGTACTTGATCCAAGGAAAGAACTGAGCGTCTTGGACGAGATCATCCAAGCTTTGAGCCTTCGTTTTGAGGTTAAACAGATTGAAAGCATCGTCTGCTGTTTTCCCCTCTCTTGCCCATACTTTTAACTGCTGGGCTTGCAACTTGGCGCCAATATCGGCGCCGTTAGTATGAGGCGCCAACGTCTTTCTCATCATCGCATTTGCCTTTACCGGGTCATTCTTGTTGAAATCATCCACGTACTTAAGCCAAGGGACGAACTGGGGGTCATCGAAGAGGTCATCTACGTTCTGTGCCTTTGTTTTGAGGTTTAACAGAGCGAAAACGTCGTCTGCGGATTTCCCCTGCTTTCCCCATGCCCGAAGCTGCTCGACTTGCAACTTAGTTGCAACATTCTTGGTACTAGGGGCTTGCTTTGCCGCAATAATCATCTTCGATAGGACATCATCGCTGTAGCGAGTCCTGAGGGCAGAAATCATAGCAGCGTGCGCGTTTTCCGGGTAGCGTTTGGTCATGAAAGTGACCCACTCGCCGAATTTAGCTTTCTTGAAGAGCTCGGTTCCTGCGTCGTCAAGTTTCAAGCGTAGGAGGGCGTGCTTTGGAGCTTTGTTGTTGGCTGCCCAGCGCTGCAGCGTTTTATCCGTAACCTTTGTTGAAACCAAGGTCTTGGCTTTCTCGAGGACGGTAACGATTCCTCTCTCCTCGTTTATTGTGTCCACAGAGTGGTGTTTCCTCAAGAACCGCTGGACTGGAATGTTAGCGATGATAGATCGATCGGTAGCGGAGTTAAGCCTCAACACCTTCGGATGATTCTTCGATGCGGTAGCTTGCGCGTTCGCTACTAAAGCGACAACAACCAGCACCGCAATTAAATGGAGACGCATGACAGACTGAAAGCCGAGAGCTTCAAAGTAAATTTCGGACTGAAGCTAGAAAACGATCGAACAAGAAGTCACGTCTGTACCTCACTTCTGAAGTGAAGCAACGAGGATTACGGCACCACAAAGCGTGTGTCGAGATACTATAAAAAAAAAAAAAAAACAGGATGGGGTAGTGCCCAATGGATACGCCAATGGGTCAATATAGGTATACGGAAAATTTGCCTCGTACACATCAAGCATGTGCGAAGTATTATTACAATTGTACATGTATTAATGCTGCTAAACCAGGTGCAAATATGAATGAATAGATGTACATACCATACTGCAAAACGTTGACTCCACCCTGAGCCTCAAATACACTTTTACATTTTCTCCCCAGAGATAAAAAGTTGCTACATCCTTCTAAATGAAAACCATCATCTCCTATAACACATGTACATTTAATAAAGGCACCTAAAACATGTGCTTGAGAGAAATAAAACTGACACACAAAAAACTAGTTGTTTCACACAGAAGGATGGGCGACGTGGATGACCACAGCCTCGCTATGAGGCCTTAGAGAGGCGCCATGACAACCGGAGCGCAGCGGAGGTCTGTCAGGGAACGGCGCGTAGGCCGGAGTAGGTTCCGAAACAAGAACTTACAATCTAATCCGCGCGGGATCCTTGCCCGCCACGAGCGAAGCGAAGTTGGCGGTGCAAACGCCGCGTAACTGTGGAGCGTAGCGACTACCTGTGAGACTCAATTATGCCTTATTGCGACGTATTGGAGGTCAAAAGTATACATTAGCCAAGACAAATGATTTGCTGTGTGTTTGGACAGTAAATGCATGTGTTTTGCATGTTCTGTCCATGTGCTTTTAGGTAGAGGAATGTCCTAACAGCGGGACTGAATGTACCTAATGGCAAGACACGAGCTGCCTCCTGGGATAAGATAGCGATCGGGCCGAATTCATGTGATTGTGTAATTTGAGGGCTACAGCCTTCGCTGTCGATAAAGTTTTGTTTATGTGAACTGCCATTATATTCTTATAATACTTTGAAATACCGGTAACACGTGCGGGGAATGGCCACAATCCATAACGGGATTACCAGTAAGATGAGGCCACTTGATTGGGAGTAGATATCGCGCCAATATTCTCGTAGACCCGGTAGTAAAAAAGAAACTCAAACAAAATGGAATAAAATCGGTCTGATTTATGCAAGACTGTCGTATTGCCATATGTTCTAGTGAGGTACAGTGCCCGGATAATATACATTATAGTTAATAACATTGATGTTTTCTAACACATTTATTATTATTGGGTATTATTGTACGATAAACAATTTTTTTTTCCCAACTCTTGTTTTCAATTTCTAAACCTATGTTACTGAGAGCCTTAGTCAGCCAATGAATTTGGAGTACATCATATTTCAGCCAATCATATTGTGTTTTGATTATCCCCCAACATTTTCCCAATTATTTTGGGAATGTTCTCAAATTATTCAGTAAGTCTCTTTACAATCATCAACCAAATTGTCCAATAAAACCGAGATATTCCTGATAAGAACTGGAGTCAGTTTGCCAAGTTCTCTGCCATTTGAAAAGATGCAACGTGTAGCACAAGGGCTTGACATCCCGCAAGGTACGGCAGGACAGGAGCAAGCTGCTCTTAAATGCTTTAGTGAGTTTCTATCACTGGGTAACATGACCGAGGAGTCTCTAAGTTCTATCGCTATATCACTTGTGGCTCCTGGCGCTCTGCCAAGTCAGAATTTTTACTCACTGCTTACCGCTTTTACAATTTTTCTGCAAACAAAGACTAGCTCTCAAGGATGCCTTCTTGCGAAGACCACCGCCGTGGGTTATATGTCACAAGTGGTAAATTTGCTACGAGAGCGGTATCCTACGCATTTGTCTGATAACAAGAGAATTGCAAAAATTAGAGAAAAAACGGCTGCAGCCATTGACGCGCGGAACATGCTTGCAGGGGTGCAAACCGGGGAGGCTCCCGGCTGCACGCTCGACGATCTATGCGCGCTTGTGCAAGAGACAGCAATCAAAGGTGTCGGTGGTGGGTTCAAAAGTTTGCACGGCTCCGCAGTTCTGACATTAATGTGGCACACCTTCATTCGAGCAATCGATGCATGCTTTGCCCGTAAGAACCAGCTTTCGATCGCGGCACCAGGGAGCTCTTTTTGCATGCACCAAGGATTAAAACATCAGTGCTTCAAGGGATATATATATATATATATACAAGTCGGCAAAGAAATGGGAGCAGCGCATGTTCCATGCTCGAGGCATGCTATTTGTGGGCGCATCTGAGCCAACTAGCTACGTGTTACCGCTAGTTCCCCATGTCACCACCTCAGACTTGCCAGGACAGAAGACGTACACGCAAGAAAAAGCCATACTCGATTGGGAAGGCCTTGAAGAGAAAGCAGAAGCGCAGCTGGAGCCACGCCTGAAGCACGTGCGAGGGCGTCCAAGTGTAGCCAAGTATATAAATGACATCATCGCAGAAGCCACCAAGCGTATCGCTAAAAGGCTGCACTACTGCCGCCGCCCATCATTCCAGGATTATCAAGTCACTCACTCCGACGAGGTTCCGCAGCGTACGCGAACGCCTCGCCTGAACTGGCGATCCAATGGATTTCACACGAGGTGCGTGGCTGCTGGATTCGCTCACGAAATCGGGTTCGCGTACGTTAGTACTACCACTCGCGAAGATCAAAGTGTGGCCAAAATTTTGGCCGGATACCGAGACCCGCATCTGCCATGTAGTACCCCAACCATTTTGACCCTGCCGGAAAACGTGTGCGGCTTCCCGGACGTGTCCCTGAACGTTGACAGCAACGTATTGGATGCAGCGCTCGCGTCGCTGTTGATCCACCTTGAAGACGTGGCTGCAGTCATCACGAAGGAGCAGGCAGCGACGGGTTACACATCCCACTACTTGTACCGCTTGCTGGAAGCATTTGACACTACAAATGCTGCGCTGGGATACGGGTTGTCTCTGGAAACGTGTTTTGGATGGCTTCGCACCTCGTGGGAAACAGAGAACTTCGCTCAGCGGTGGAGACACGACCGTTCTTGCTGCCGCTGTAACGCAGCTGTTGTCCTCGGTGTCAACAATGCAGCGGGCGCTGCGGAAGCTCGTCAAGATTCAAGAACCGTCATCGTCGGCTTCTCCAGGCAATACCTCGTGTAGCTACGCGACCGAAAATCCACGCTCTCACCGCACCGCCGACGGCGTTGTTGAGGCGCACGCGCTTGCTGGGTGCTTCTACAACTGATACACACTTCAGCTTTGGAACACAGCAACACAAAAGAAGCAGCAGTTCGTCCGTGCCGATCTAAAAGCGTGCATCAACATCATGATCATTGTGGCCGGGCGAGACGTGGACGTACCGGCAGCCCCTTTAGATCCGGACGGCGTCGCAAATCAGCTGTGGAAGCAAGAACTGTGGACGCTCTCCGCGGACTTGGACACGAAGACGAACGCGGCACTATGCAAGCTTGACGACAAAGGTAACTCGAAGACACCAGGTTCTCTCCGAAACCGTTGGAGAAAGCAGCGTACTGACCACCGAGGCGTTTATGATGCGCTGTGTTCAGCCTTCATTACACGCAAAGCAGGTGGAGTCGTAGTCGATTGCTGCACGCCAGACAGTCACCAATGGAAGCAGAAAGACTTGGAGTCGTAGGATATGCGGGCTTGTATTTTCGAAGTAATATATTCCTCCCTACATCATGCAAAACGATAACATGTTGCCATTGCCACATACTCACCACACCAAAACATAAAAAAAGATTCGTCAGAACTTGCCCAATACAAATCCCATGAGATTACGCCAACCTTGACCAACTGCAGTAGCGCTAATGTGGAATGGCGAGCTCTCGAGCGGCCACCAGAAGCAAAATCTGGCAGCATTTCGCCAGCCCTTCCGGGTATCGAGCCTGCTTTCAGGAAACGGCGGCGGACGCGAGCGCCATGCCGTCGGTGGCTTCGGCCTGGTCCGGGTAGTGTCAGCAGCGCGCTAGGGCGGGCATCGCTGGTGACGGCTGAAGGGGGGAAGTGAGGGGAGTGGCGATAATTCAGTACATACTTTATTGGAGTAGTTTGAAAGCTGCCTACTGATTGGCTATTATTTTTGGGAATGTGCTTGGGAACTCCTTTTTGTTTTTACTGCTATTGACGTGGATTAACTGTTTCGATAACTATACCCGTTATTCAAGGCACAAATCATCCTTTGACTCAGTATCGAAGTAGTGTCGGTGGTTTATGGACGGATGCATCATTCCCAACATATTTTGTTGCCCAGGTATCTTCATAACGATGTAATATTTTCTCTGTACTTTCAGTTGTGACTGCATTTCGGTGTTGGCGACACCCAACCTTGAAGACATAATTCAATAGCTATTACTAATTGATTTATTATTGTTTCTCTTCTCACTCATTTACATTGCGCTGAAAATTACTAGTATAGCCTTTCCAAATATGGCCTTTTGGCCAATCTGACCTTTAAAGGCTGGTCCTAAGCAAGGGTGGGTAGGACTAAAGGTGGGATTTGAGGACGAACTGGAGTTGAATTGCTAAGCCAGGCCACTAAATAAAATAATATTTGACCAATAACACTGTTTGATTTTGCCGACTATGATCCAATAATACTTGTTTGTGGAGGTCCTACGTAAGGGCTCCGATTTGATCTAAAGGGTACCTTTTAACAAATTAAGGGCTGAATGGCCAGTATTTGCCGGCCATTTACCCTTACGTAAGGTATCCACAACAGATTGATTTTAAATC